GGACAGTATGGGATGGGACTTAATTTATCAACAAATCCGGTTATGAAGTCAACAGGAGATATTTCAAAGGTGCTCTATCATCCATTTACTATGATGGTGGTTGGACCAACAGGTTCGGGGAAATCTACATACTGTATGTTAAGGAACTGATTGAACATGCTGCTACCAGAATATCTCCATCACCACAAAGAAGCATATGGTGTTACAGTCAATGGCAACCTCTATATGACGACATCATGGCAATCAGCTCAAATATTGAATTCATGATGGGAATACCAGACGAATTGAGTAACCCAGATTTCTTGGATGTGAATCAGAGGAACTTGGTTATCTTTGATGATTTAATGGGTGATATAACAAAAGATACAAGGATTACTGATTTGTACACACGTGGATCACATCATAGAAATCTAAGTGTCATTTGTTTGATGCAGAATTTGTTCCCAAGTGGTAGAGAAAGTCGAACTCTTAGTTTGAATTCCCACTACATTGTGTTGTATAAGAATCCTAGGGATCATCAACAAATATCTGTTCTCGCTCATCAGATGTATCCTGGAAAGTCTCGCAAGTTACTTGATGCATATGAGAAGGCTACACACCAACCTTACAGCTACCTGTTAGTGGACCTCAAGCAAGAAACTCCTGAGAGTATGAGATTATCTAATCCTCTTACAACTACACATAAAATGCTGCAAAAACCATTAGCAAAACAAAGTTTGGAGGAAGCAAATCAATCGCAGCAGCGTGAAAGTAATGTTAATGTAGTTAATCATGAGGTACAAGAAACATCTCAAATATATGAGAAGGATGCAATAATGTGTGATATAAATACTGGTGCTTCACCTTGTTCGACTCATTTAATCTCTCGTAGATGCTACAATATGGTCTCGTGTGATGACTGTGGTTTAGTCTTTGAAAGTGTTCATGATTTGCAACGTCATGTCAAGAATTGGTGTCAAGGGCAAGGTCAATTGTACAAGAAAATGAAGATTGAAACACGCTCACAAACAAAAGAAGATTCCCGTGAAGAAGATGGTGATCTAACATTAAATGAAACATTTGAATATTTAAAAAACAGGGCAAGAAATGATAATGAAAAGGATTATAATCATAAGGTAAAGGAGTATATGGATCGGGGAAACAGTGAAAAGGAGGCTATAGAAAAGGCTGAGAAGAAACTCGTACGAAAGGATAAAGAAAGATTCGTGAAGCACTATAAGAAGGTCTTAAAACTAGTATTCGGTTTAGCAGACAATGCATTACACAGAAATATTGTAGATGCAGTGAATGATATGTTGATAAGAGGTGTCTCTAGAGATCTTGCAATCAAAAAGGCACTTGTGAATGCTGAACATAAGTTTAATGAGCTATTTATAGAAGATACAGATGATGAAAGCGAGTCTGATGAAGATTCCAGTGATGAAGAACAATCTTATTCTCATGATGAAAGCAATTCTGATGAAGAATCTACTGATGAAGACCAATTTTATAATCGTAATGAAACCGATTCTCAAAGTAATGATATGACCAGCATTTAACATATAAAGAAATATGTAAAATAAATATAAAATTTAAAGCATTTACAGGAAGATAGTATTTGGAATAAAAATTAATCTAATTGAGATAAGTTTTAATATGTATTATGCCAATGGGTATTTATATAGACTTTGGAATATGAATGTTAACGATTCATTGACCAAACCAAATGAGGGCTCTTGTCATTCATCATCATCCTATACATTCATTGTACTTATTTTTAGAAGTAAATACAATTGTAACATAAACCATTATATTTAATTTTGTAATCTAGCATATCAATGTTGAAACTTTAATCTATGAAATAGCATCCATGATAATATACATTACCACATTGTCGTATAAATATATTGGATTTGACTTAGAGAATCATTTCATCATTCAGTATACCTACCATAATATTTATCCCGAATAAGCCATCTGGTGGTGAAAATAAGAACTAACTACTAGATATAGTATCCGGGTTATGGAGAAAACCTTTTGGGAACTGTATAAAATATAATTGTCACGAAGACTATAATTGTAACCACATTCTCGCGGAGATTGCTATCACATTCTCGCGGAGATTGTTATCACATTCTTGCGGAGATTGTTACCACATTCTCGCGGAGATTGGTATCGCATTCTAGCGGAGATTGTTATCGCATTCTGGCGGAGATTGTCATCTCCACATTTCTCGCAGGTTCCACCACTACGTACACTACTTATGAGGTGTCAAATGACAAACATCTCCTAATAGTCCATGGTATGACTTCCGAATATGAAGGATCCGTAGCATAGTCTAGCGCAGCAACATTTGAAGTAATATTTATGAAGGTGTACATGTCTTGATTCTTTTAAAATACCATTTGCCGAAAAAACTTCCGGCTTTCGGGTCGAAAAATGTCTTTCATCACAAGGGATCAAAAAACGTAAATATTTTGATTCGAACTTTTATACATTTTATAAGACACAGACCGTTATTCTAAGCATACGAACAAAAATAAATTATCATAATTTAAAAATATACTATTTAATGTACCGTACATGTCGGTGTTTAATTAGTGTAATTATGCAAGTGTGTTTTTCAGATTTTGTTTGATTTTTCAAATATGAGCCAAGTCGATTCAACAAAACGTATTGAAAACCCCTTTTGTGAAAAACTAGTATAATTAAAACATTTGTCATTCCAATATAAAAGTGATTCATTTGTAGCATTTATCTAATATTAATACCTGAGAAACAATACAAAACGTCAATGCACTGATTACATATTTTTTAGTATTGATAAGAAAGATAACCTCAAACTTATAGCTTACAAACCTAAATCATATATTTAAAATCATTTCTTATTATTTTCTGTTGCATTGTGTACTCCAAATTGTGAAAAATTGGGATTTTATTTCTTGGTGATTTTTTGACCTCTGTTAATGGCAGGCATAATTCAGCCTGAAAGCCGGAAGTATATTGAACGGTTATAATACAAATTATTAGGGGACATATGTAGGTATGTTAATGTAAGGTCAAATATCGCTGCGCTATACTGTGCTACCAGCTCCTTTATTAGACGTCCTAGAGATTTCATACCATGGACTATAACGTCAAAGTAAGCTTATTCCATTGATACCTAGGGCTGTATTGAACGTCTAACGTGACGAAGCATCAAGTCCATAAACGCATTAATTTTACTATATTCGATCGGGTTCTACAAGCAACGTGTTTTTGTTGGGAACTGAATATATGTTGAAAATATACAAGTTATGGGGAAAATAAGTCGAATTATACGAAATACTTACGTCTTCTGCTAGCCAAAATGGCCTCAGCCGGGACGAATCTAAATCTAAAACTATGTGGAACAAAACTGTAGCAATTTCTATCAATGCAATATCATTTATGGAATAAATAGTCTAAATCGTCGATCAAAGATCATTTATATAATTCAAATAACCATGCATAAAGAATTTGTTTTCAGTGAAGTCGAGAAGAATTGAGTCCATCTGAACCGACGCTCAATCACTTTGTCCATTGGTGTCAAACGTCACGCACGTTAGAATTTTATTGGTTCTATTCTATTTTCTGCATACAATAATTGACGAAATTTTCTGAACTGTGAAACTAAGATTAGTAAAAGCAATAAAAATCAGTGCTTGGCACTCCTGACAAGACTATTGACATAACCATTAACATAAGGACAAGATGTACATCTTTTATAACGTGCGTGATTGCTTGACACGAACACTTTTATCACATATAAATTAAGCTATGGTGTCAAAAAACAGATTAATGACGAAAACAACCACAATATTTGCTGATTCCAGATGAATGTTCCCTTTCTTACATTTAGGTGTGTGTGGAAATCGTTTTATATCAACGAGAAATTTAAGTAATTCGTTAATGCGAGAGTATGACACGATAAAGGACTCAAGCTTGGCGGATTAACGTGCGTAACGAAGTTTGACACCAATCTTCGAGCAACTTATAAAGACCATATTGCCGCTTCAGAGTTGAAACTTACCACTGGATCTATAACATCTCGTAAATGTGTTAATAAAATACAATTTCATTTTTTACACATGTGATCGCGTATTTTGTATGAAAATAGGCTTTCTAACGTGCGTGACGAGTTTGACACGAAAAACGATAATGCACGCAACTGAGCATAAAAATTATTTTCCATTTATACTTCATATAGCATTGAACACAATGAGAGCTCGGTGTATCCTCCTTTCGAAAAAACACTTCATCTGACTTTTTGTAAAAATAATCAGCCTGGAGCTCATGAATAACGTGCGTGATGGTGTTTGACACCATGCACCACGCACGTTAGTTCTAAATTGACATTGTCTTATTTTTCGAGTATGGTAGATTTATTATCTGAAAACGAAATGATTCACATAGATAACCTCTGTAGACTTATGGCAACACATTTTTCCACCTCATTTCCAGAAAGAAAGATCCAGGGGATGTATCTCTGATGTACCCCCCAAAATTGCTTAAAAAACTGCAAAAACAGCTGGACACGAAGCCCCAAAAAGTGAATAACTTCAACAAATTTTAACATTTTCACCTGATATTATCCTCAGTATCTTTTTGACCTCTACTGAGTTGAATAGAATAATCGTTTTTGGCTATACTTCTCAAAATGTTGAGATATCGAGCATGTAATATTAGAACTTTTGAGTGACGAACTTTTGAAAAAGACACATATATAAGAAATGACTCTAAATGGCAATTATTATGCAAGAGACATCTCTAGTAAATCTTGCCACCCTTTCATAGAATTCGAACTATGATATATTGGCTACACTGATGATTGTTCTTATTCAAAAGTAACAATAAGTAAATCTTATTTTTGTATTGAGACCAATGACATTATTAACAACCAATGACATTATCAAACTAGCGAATATATCATAGCTTCTTTCATGTACGAAAAGGTGGCGGAAATGTCTATTATTGTTATACATGATATTATTACATTTCAGTGGGGGCCATAACAACAGATATAAATCTTATATGCAACAAAACGATTGACTACAATGGAGACTTCTCAATCAAAAGAGTGAATGAGACAACATATATCGGATCCATCATATCGCCATGTGCCTGTAGAAATGGATGCCAACAAAACATAATTTACTATGTCATATTTGGTATTGCCATCTTGATTGTGGTAATACTTTCATTCTGTGCTGTAGGTGAGTATGTAATTTTTCTATGTAATTTTAAGTCGAGCAGACCATCCCTGTTCATGATGTCCAAACTAAAAGGATGATGGTTTTGAAAACATAAGACAGTATTGGCCAAATCATGCGTCTATTGAATGCTATTGAATTAATATGCAGGGATGCTCTTTTAAAGTAGTGATATAATTTAGCTGTAATACAGAATATTATCGATGAATAGCAAAAACAGTGAAAATAGAGTAAAATATGCCAAAATTGGTTATTTTCTAGGTTTTCACATCACGTGGCACTCCCAATTTTGTGAACCTTTGAGGGTTTTTACTAAATTATGGGATTTAAAACAAGATTTGAAAGATTATTATGCATAAATATAATTCCGAAATTTAAAAATTCAAAAATCATCATTTTTAGCTATTTTTACAAAATGGCCGACGGACCAGTTTAAACGTTGTCCTAGTAGATGACAACTTGGATGACCCTTTAATTTTATTTGTGTCATTTTTTATTATACAGGTATGGTGTACAAGTAGTGTGAATATATGACCCTGTATAACTGAATTTCACGTTGCAGGTATGGTGTACAAGTGGTGTGAATATATGACCCTCTATAACTGAATTTCACGTTGCAGGTATGGTGTACAAGTGGTGTGAATATATGACCCTGTATAACTGAATTTCACGTTGCAGGTATGGTGTACAAGTGGTGTGAATATATGACCCTGTATAACTGAATTTCACGTTGCAGGTATGGTGTACAAGTGGTGTGAATATATGACCCTGTATAACTGAATTTCACGTTGCAGGTATGGTGTACAAGTGGTGTGAATATATGACCCTGTATAACTGAATTTCACGTTGCAGGTATGGTGTACAAGAGGTGTAAAGGTGCTAGAGGTTGGGAGATGATTCCATTTTGTGGCTGCAAGAAGAAAGGCTATACTGAGATAAATTAAAGATTTTTATTATTTAACATTTTTTCACCAAACATACAAGTGCCTAACTAAAAATGGCATCACTCATATGATTGAGTGTATTGTAAGGTGTTAGTTAAATAATACGGTCCATTGTGTTTAAAGAAATATAAAGAACATATATTGGGGTGGCTTTGTATAAAAAATCTCACACCTCATACCCACCTACCCACGTACGTGGGACATGATACAGTCTGAAGGGTTCAATTTTAAATATCTTAGTTTAAATCATAGTTTATGATGACTTATAGATGCATTTGTAACGACCCTTGATAGCAAGTTACTACTACATCCCAGCTGGGTTCGATTCCCACTCGGGGCATCGGATTTCTTCTTTCTTTATCTGGCTTGTTGGACCTATGCTTGCGGTCGTTAGTTATTTATTCCCCTGGCGTGTCCTCGGGTCATAACACATTAAAATCGATTGATATGCCTTTATTTATGGATCTCTCATCTGTCTAGTCATAAAATAAAGCCGGAATTGTAGAAATGTCAATAATTTCAGCTATTTTGAGATTTAATAATCTTTAAAATTGAACCCTTCAATGACTGTATCATGATCCACGTAGGTGGGTATGAGGTAGGAGTTTGTTTTATACAAAGCCAATTGGGATGGAATTTAACTACAATTAAACTAGACTAACTACTCACTGACAGATCCAGGGGGTAACCCCCCACCCCCAACTTGGGTGGGCCCAGAATTCTTTTAGGGCCTCCGAAAATGGGCCTTTTTAGGAAAAACCTGGCCTTTTAGGCCAAATTTTCAAAAATGGGCTCTACATTTTCAGATGTTGGCCCAATATTGGTTTTAGGGGCCCAAATGTTTTTTCACACAAGCACAGAAATTGTTTCCTGACTTGAAATATGCCCCCCCCCCCTTGCTAGCTTCTGGATCAGCCAGTGCTACTCATTTAATTTATGACAAGTGTCCTCCTTTAGCATGTATGTCCCAAATGTAAATACTTGGTTTGGATGAGGTGAGACAGAAACAAAAGCAATTGTTACATGTAGCTAGCAGCTGATCAGCTGGTGCAAGTTAAAAACATGGGACATTGAAATCAATATGTGTGGACTGTTTAAAGAAACATCTGTAAAATACTCATTGTTTCAGGCAATTGTCTATAAATGTACAGGGTGTTTCATAATGACCGTCCCCCCCATCAACCACCAATCCTGAATAGCATACCCCCATGTGTTATATATCATATGAAAGCTTGGTCAATTCTGGACTTATTGAATCAACTTTGATTAAGCTTAACATTTTTTACAACTTGCTACATATCTCTATAAAAGGTACCCATTTACCTTTAGCATAGAATCTGAAAGCCACATTTTTTCCAAAATTAGCCATGTACCCTGCAAACAGCTATGATAACCATGCCTCAATACACTATTGGGTATAGTAATGTACAACTTCTAACATTTGATGGATGTTGAAGATATATCTTGATGATATTTGAAAGATAAAAGTATTAAATAGTTCAAAGAAATGCCCGGACATCTCTAAATGATACAATGGATAATATAGCGATCTGCTTTTCTCTTTAAATCCATCAGGAATAGCAGCCACAAATCATGCAAATTGAGGGGATAGTGGCTACAAAATATAAGTTCACAAATTATGTTCTCAATGACCAGGCATGCTAATATTTGGCACATAAGTCCAGAATTGAATACGCTTTATTATGGTATATAGATTATGGGGGCATGTGAAGTAGGATTGCCTGTGGATGGGGGGACGGTCATTATGAAACACCCTGTATAGCCCTATGTGTGTTAAAAGATAAACCATGCAACAATATGTCTACAAGGCTATTGGCCAGTATAGTCAATATAAGTTATTCAATGATTTGAAGTGCAATATATTCTGCTCGAGAAATTCCGTATTGGAACGAGACGAAGTTCATTACAAAATATCGAGACAGAATATATCCTGTATTGCACTTCAAATCATTCAATAACATTTTTATCGTGTGATCCTCTGTATTGCTACTGAGAATGTCCCCTCCGTAGTGTGGGGTCATAATGCTAAAATCCTTCTCTGCAAGCTTTAAGAAAAACGGCTTCACAATTGCTTTTAAAACTTTAACATCTTGTTCAGCTCACTTCATTCTACATCTGATTAGGTTTTGGACCTGTTAGCTCAGTCATGTCAGCCATTTTGAATGTTTTAAGAAAAGTTAGCGCACGATAATACTTTGTATCATATTGAATGGTGTTTTTGAGTTTTCATGCTTTAACTATTTAGTAGCTTTATAAATAATTGCAGGTGTACTTTATTGTAAAAGCCTATGTTATTGTTAACAGTAGTTATATGTGATAATTTTGTAAAAAGAAAACAGCAAAAACACATAATCACTTTTTTATTGTCGGCCATTTTGGATTTTTCCATCCTAAAATCTTGTCTGTAAAGTCTTGTCTACGCGTTTTCAGATGAACAGTTTGGTAGATCAATTTCAAATTTTCAGGGATGATTCTTAGTATGAAAATCTAGAACTGACTCATTTTTTGGCATTCTGGGTAAATTTTAAGGTGGCCAAATTGGATTTTTTTGTCTATTGAATACTATGATGGCAATTTTGATTTCGATGCACAGTATAATGCTTTCCGAAGAAAATTATGTAAATCATGTTGTAGCTCCAAATATCTTACGAAATGAGCTTGTTTAAAATATGTATCATAGAAAACCAGCAACATATAAATAATTATCAATGGCTGAACGATTATTTATGTGAGAAAACTAAACATCCAACGTACAGACGTATGCGAACAGGTTCACGGTCTCAGATACTACCCAACGTAAATCGTTCCGGACTTGTTTTTCATAACCATTTGGACTCATTTCGTAGGAGAATGAGATGAGACATTCATCAGAATGGCTCAAAAAGGTAATATAATTCAATCGTTTAGAAAAATACATACACTAACTTCTACCTAAAACATTCTTTTTCATACCCACATATCTATTTTGGCGATCGTGCCATCATAGTTCATATTTATCGGCATTAAATAACAAAAATGCCAGAAATATGCTCTTAATCTGCATTAGTGTCATTTAACTATGTTTAAACAAAAAAATCATTCTATAACGTGGAACAATATTCACTACATTAAAGATCGTGTTAATATTTTAACTATTTGTACCTTCAAATTTCCATAAATGACCGTAATGTAAAAAGTGGAGTTAACGACGGCGAATGGTCCTTATTCTGACACGGACTTGTCTTATAATCCCTAGGTGAACGACTGCGAATTGTACACAACGTGATAACAATAACGATTAGGAATTGTCTTGTAATGGTATTTATACGTTCCGTTGCTTGATGAATTGTCTATGCTTCTGGAAAAATTGCACTTAGCATGATTATGTTTTAGAGGAGTTTTTGTACTAAATATTCACACATTTTGTAATTTCAGTTCCCAGAAACAAGTGCCACGAATGTACTTTTAAAAGTGCAGATAAAAATATATTCTTTGAACACTTCAAGAGGGACCATCCCTCCGATTCATTATCCCATCGAACAAAGTTCGGAGGGATATAGGGAACGCCTCCGTCCGTCCGTACGTACGTACGTACGTCCCTCCGGGCAATAACTCAAATACCGTTGGCCCGATTTTGTTATATTTTGTACACATACACCCTATGTGGGTAGAAATTCTGTTTGAAAACCGATTTTCAAAATGGCCACTCATTTAAAAATGGCGGCCATTTTAGTGCCGATTTTACAGTAATTTAGGTGCAATATGTAAAACTGTAATAGCAATATGTTTTAAATATGAAAAAATTATATAGGACATTAAAAAAGCTAGAAATGTAGATATTTAAGAAGCACATGGCAGCCATCTTGAAAAATGGCGCCTTTACACGTTATTTTTCGATTTTTTTCTGTAACTCGAAAAGTAGTGGAGCGATTTTGTTCATATTTGGTATGTGAATACTATAAGCATGGCACACTGTCTAATGACACTTTTGGTAGAAGGCGGCCATTTTGGAAAATGGCGGCCATTTTAACTTACATGTATTTTACTATAACTCGAAAAGTAGTGGAGCGATTTTATTCATACTTGGTATGTGAATACTATAAGCATGGCACACTGTCTAAAGACACTTTTGTTAGAAGGTAGCCATTTTTTAAAATGACCGCCATTTTAACGTATTTTACTCTAACTCGAAAAATAGTGGAGCGATTTTGTTCATATTTGGTATATGAGTGCTATAGGCATGGCACACTGTCTAATGACACTTTTGGTAGAAGGTGGCCAATTTGAAAATGGCTGCCATTTTTGCTATATACTTTGTTTGTAAATATGCCAGCCATGGCTGTTCGATGGGATTTGCTACGCTTTGGCGTTGCTGTTGTCTAGTTCAGGCTAGACGTCCCTTTTCGTGATAAAGGCATATAGCGTTACAAAACACAGGATTATGGATTCCGGATGTGTGATAAATTAGGCTCAAAGCTGTCATTTGATTATGGCACCTCGATAAAGGAGGAAGAATACATTGAACCCAGTCCTCTTCAGAAGCGCAATGAAATTGCTACAGATTGTAGAGGAACATTACAATGTGTCTACCAAATCGCATCGCACATAGTCTAAACCTGTAATGATTCCCTAATTCAACCTTGACAAGTATCTCTTAATTAATGATGATCATTTAGATAGTATCACTCAGACAACCTCTTCCACTGTCCTTATCCACTCTGATGATTTGTTGGAAATCTATAAAGTTTATATAGCTGTTTCACACTTAAAAATGGTTCATTGTGTTCTACAAGTCAGAAACGTTCCAATAACACAAGTCAGAAACGTTCCAATAACAAGTCAACATCATTATCTGGAATATTTAGGTCACGTCCAAATGGTTAAATCTAAAAAATATTCTTTCGAAAATTGCTACTCATTTTAACCATTTTAAATCATGATTTTCGTTGACAATGTGGCTACTTTCATTATGAATCGGTGTATTCATTGGATACAAGGCAGGCTGGTGATTATAAGGCAAAATAGGTAAAAACACTGGCAGAATCGCTCGCATCCCGAAATAACAAGACTATAGCAAACGGTTTGTACAAAAAAGGCGTTTGCGGGTGCCTGAAGATAGGGTATATAGTATGGTAAGTTATCTAATTGTATTATATTTTCATAAAGTCAAGTGAAAGCAATTTCATAACCAAATTTACAAACCTACCTCTACTCTTTTTCATAAATCAAGTCCAAATGGTTATGAAAAACAAGTCCGGAACGATTTACGTTGGGTAGTATCGGAGACCGTGCAGGTTGACGTTTCGATCTTATATGCATTGCTTAAAGTCTCCATTAGCAAATATCCGCCGCAAACTTCACCAAATGAAAAGCGCACAATTAGGACAACAGCAACAACAAAAAAAATTCATAAATCAAGTCCAAATGGTTATGAAAAACAAGTCCGGAACGATTTACGTTGGGTAGTATCGGAGACCGTGCAGGTTGACGTTTCGATCTTATATGCATTGCTTAAAGTCTCCATTAGCAAATATCCGCCGCAAACTTCACCAAATGAAAAGCGCACAATTAGGACAACAGCAACAACAAAAAAAATTATATGGTGAGTAAAAACTATTATTCTAAACTATTATGTGAACATTCAGTGCGATTTCGTTCATTTTGATAACCATGTGATTTTTCAGATGATCATAACTTATTTCAAACATGTTTTTTCTGTCATTTTGCACAAAAGGCACATTATTGAGTGCTATATTTTATATAATGTAGAATAACCCAAAATGAGTGGTCTTGTTTTCAAAACTGCACAAAATATCAACATGTGCATCTACTTTAATTTCGAAATATTCAATAAATTCTATTACAGGACTCTGGGGAACTCCCACAGAAAACATACAAGATAGTGACAGTGCCAGGAGTGACAATGTAGACCAATAGCCAAGACAAAAATGGTGCTTGATGAGGACAAACGTAAAAGAGAGCTTCGTTTTTCCATTCCTCAACACTTGGTGAGATTTTTTATTTTTAAGTAAAACTTCTAGAATTAAAATTGCAGTTGTCAGTTGCCACGCTATTTTCATGAGAAAGTTGAATGAAACCTCACTTGTAAACCAAACTACAATGTAAATCATACGATTTTTTGCATTTGTTCAATAATAATAATTATTTCAGGTGGCCACTTAGGAAGAGATAAAGTGAACCAGAAAATGTCTAAGCATTGAGACAGGTAGGTTCAAACGCTATGTGTTTTACGTCCGTTTAGTTTCTATTATAAAATGACTGCAATTTCTTCTTGATGAAAGTACACCATTTCCAGTACAAGTAATGTTTTCCTGTACATCTAGGATAAAAAAGTATGTATTGAAATGTTTGTTTGTTATAATGGAAACATTTTAAGCACGTATCTTGATAAAAAATATTGGCACTAGTGCTTATATATTTAATTGTATGATTAATGTTAAAGATACGAATTGATCTTATTGGCCATCTCCAAGAAACCCAAACAGGAAGTAAATACGCCTGTACTGTCACCTGCTATTTCTCTAAATGGGCAGAAAGAAACCCCTTAAAAACAAAATCTAGTAGAGGTTGCGCAATATTTATTAGAATTATGTTTGAGGTAAGTCTGCATTTTGTCTTTACTGTTCATGCCAAAAGTCAATTCATCGGTGCTTATTATTTAAGTCACGTCAATTTATGTACACGTAATTGTGCATAAATATTATAATTAAAAATTATAATCTGAGATGTTATCATTCTTTATACTAGGTAAGGATTCAACTATTCCATGTTGTCAGATCAAGGGAGAGAATTCAACAACACAGTTATTCAAAAACTGCTGGGTCAATACAACACAAAAAATACATCAGCATACCACCCCAAATGTAATGGTCTCACTGGTAAATTCTATTTTTTATAACAACGCTAGCATTTACTGGGAACACAATTAAGGCACTCGTTTTGATAAGTTATCAATAGCAGTTTTATTAGTCGATAAAACAAAGATTTAATAAATGATATGATAAAAGTCATAAAACGCTGATTGTATCATTCCCACTATAGCTTTCACTCTTTGTAATATTGAACTAATTCCTATTCCAGAACGCTTCAATCAAACCCCTGAAGGTATGATTCATAAAACTGTAGCAGATACAGGATGGCCATGGGACTGCGTTCTCCCAGAAATCGTATTTGTGTACCATACCAGTGTACAGGCCTCAACCAAGTTTTCGCCATTTTTCATTGTATATGGAAGGTAAAAGGTGAGAGACTTGTACCCATAAAAGGAAACACTCCGTGTTCTAAGAAATTATTAGAACCCACAGTGTTCAAGTCGTATTTCTTCATACCAAACACATGCAGTGAAACATTTATATTAAAACAACTAGAAAATCCGAACGAATCAATATGAACTTGTTTTTTCATCTATTGGATCGGGACTTGTGGTATCTGTTCTCCTACTTGAATAACCTCCTTGACTCAACGTGTCCTGTGGTCTTTCAAATTAGTGTTAAAATTAATACATTTCAATAGCTAACTCATAATTGCGTTATAATTTAGGCAACCTGTTCTGCTACAAGATGTAAATGAGTAGGTACATGTAGAGGCTGGCCCAAGCAATGTCGATGCAGCGTCAACATCAGCTGTAAATGCCACTGTCACTGCTCGAGCAGATGTGGGAAATGTGGTCCAGGCAAACATAGAAAGCTCACAAAAAAGGAAAAAAGAACTATATGATTTGAGAATGAAGCCATACTTTAAGGTAAGGTAATACTTCAAATGTGTTGAAATCTAGTTTTCCAATGTCATCCATGAAATAAAACTTTAAAACGTATCCATTGTATAATTCTAGAAGTTGAAGATAGGAGCACTGGTGCTCAAGAAGAACTCTAGGAGAGAAAAACGGCAGATAAGTGACTTGGGCCATACGTAATCACAACTCGCAGCCAAGGGACTTTTAAGGCGGGGGGGGGGGGGGGGTGTTGGCTCGAGGAGTGCAGTGGCAGCTCCCAATCTCAAGCCGTACAAAAAACTAGCTGGAGAAGCTCAAAAGGACGATGATAGCATAACCAACTCTGACGTGGAGGTGTCTGAGGAATTCTAGACTTGACTTCTTGAAACTCATTTAGTGCCCGTAATTATATTGGAATTCCCATATATTTTCAGACATTTCATACATGTAGTTAACCAATTCAAATTGTATTGTCATATTTTGTCTGAATAAAAATATGACATGTAATATTGTGTTGAATGTTTTATAGTGTATTATATGAAAACTTGAATTGAAAGGTTGACATATTTAGGTAAAATAGTTTACATGGACTTCAATTTCTGACAGGCATCCAGGAATACAAGTCGGCCTCGGACTACTCATCCCAGGTATAGGGCATTCAGTTATCATAATTGTTCATTACAGTAGCATATTATTCAGGCTTCAACTTCAAAATGACAGTTAATCCAGTAGCCGACAGCCGAAATTGCATTTGCAAATACAATCTGAGTGTTATTGTTTAAGCGTGTTCTGTCCCCAGTGACCACAATAGTCGACAGCAGTATAATACATGTTTTCTTGTCACTTTTGAATTGCGAAGTTACTCATCCAGCCATATATCTGAACTGCAGTCTCCTCCTGGGTAGCGGATCTCATGAGCAAGCGCAGCACCCTCTGGCTCAAGTCCAAAGTCCACAAGGAAGTTACGGTTCAACTTCAAGCCACCTGTGTCTGTGTTCACATCAATTTGCATCATCACAGAACCTTTCCTACAATTATAATTATTTATAACTACTATACGTGCATCTTTTGGAATCTTTTCTGACCTCAAGGTATCATTGGTGGTGCACTTGATTACGTTAGTTATCGAAACGAACCATTGCGGTAACAAAATGTCGGAACCTCGAAGTTTAAGTTTTTCTTTTTTCTTATTCCACGCATTGTAGGCAGAATTCCCATGACATTTTTATAACAGATGTGTGTCAGTATCATATGTCTAAGAAAATGTACATGTTTGCGAACAGATAGTTCAGAAGACCACAGAATCTTCGATTTAGTACCTCAAATAAATAAAAGGAACTTCAAAAAAGGTTAAGATTTTCATTTGTAACCCATTCCCTTAATGTAACTTAAATGAGGTATTAAATCTATGATTTTGTTGTCTTATAAAATACTGTTCGCAAACATTTGCATTTTCTTAAACATATGATACTGATACAGTTTGGGAGTTCTGCCTACAATGCGGGAAATGAGGAAAAAAAGAAAAATCGTACATTCGAGATTCCGACATTTTGGAACTGAAACGATTCATTTCGGTAACCAGCGTAATCAAGTGGATAACCAGTGAGATCTATAAACATGTGTGTGTGGCTTTAATAAGGTTATTTTGCAAAAAATTGGAAAAAGAGGAAAAGTATTTTTAATTCTAATGAATAGACTAGATGCGAGTAGAAAAAATATTGATTTTCGCCATTAAATATTCAAAATTCAGTCAAAGCGATGTTATATGTAAAATCTACTTGTAAAAATACATCTTAAAATATGGTTTCGAAAATCGTTTATCAACTTTGAAAATTTAATTATTTTTGAAAGTGTGCTTCTAGTTCGGGTTGATTCTCCATAGAGCCCATGTTACAAAATCACAAAAAATGAAATATCTTTTCTTGTATTGGTCAGATAACATTTTCATTTACTGGACATATTTTGATTCGCATCACTATTAGATACACCCTATGCAGACAGAGCCTGTGGGAAATATTGGGTGCGGCGCAAATGAGCGGAGGGTGCGGAGCTAACGGTCATTTTTGAATTTAAAATTGGGATATTTCTGAAACTAAGCCGTTTTGGGACTTCAAACATACCAAGATATGTGTATTTGACACCAAATATCAATAAAATTGTGAAAATAGTACTTGCAATTCATTTTATAGCGACGCAGTATGCCTTAAACATTTCCCAGACCTATATATTTTGAGATTATCCTTTTAATACTGCGTCCCCACCATTCATAAAAAATGGTGTTCAAGATACACTACCCATGCAAATTGTTTTTGCATCTTGGAAGCCAGGCAGTATCTGTGTGATTTTATAAAAATTCGGAAATGTTCTTCAGATATGAGCCCCTCTAAATATTGGGTGCGGAGCTACGTTTATGGAGCTGCTCCGCACCCAATATTTAGAGGGGGCTCATATCTGAAAAAATTTCCGAATTTTTATAAAATCACACAGATACTGCCTGGCTTCCAAGATGCAAAAATAATTTGTATAGATAGTGCACTTTGAACACCATTTTTTATGAATGCTGGGGACTCAGTATTAAAAGGATAATTTCAAAATATATAGGTTTGGGAAAGGTTTAAGGCACACTGCGTCGCTATAGAATGAATTGCGCTACTATTTTCACAATTGTATTGATATTTGGTGTCAAATACACATATCTTGGTATATTTGAAGTCCCAAAACGGCTTAGTTTCAGAAATATCCCAAATTTAAATTCAAAAATAACCGTTAGCTCCGCACCCTCCGCTCATTTGCTCCGCACCCAATATTTCCCACAGGCTCTGTCTGCATAGGGTGTAGATAGATAAGGGTGATATGAAAATTGAACCACTAAAACAGATGTAATTTGAACTTTCTACTATACCCGCCATGCTATCTGACCCGAACGAGCCACCTGGTGGTAAAACTGGTAACTACCTACTTGCATCTGCGTTATTAAGTCATTTCTGCATCTACACAGATTTTGATTATTGCTCATTCGGAGTCATTGTTCATGAAACAATATTGCATCCCGGGGTCTAGCATATTTAAAAAAATGGCATTAAAATGAGTGAAGTGGAGGAGGAGGTGATTTCTACTAGAAAATTCAATGAATCTGTCTTATTGTTTTACAAGAAAGTTTACCAATAAATCGCCAAATGAATAGGCACTCGACTTATTATTTATAACAAGTGGATGGATAACAATAGCTCAGACATAAAAAAATGAAATGTATACTTGTCGGCTTAAAAAATTCAGCTTTAAGTGACTTATGAAATGGCAAAAAAAACTTAGATTTTCTAATTCAGATTCATTGTTTATGAATTTATGAAAAAACAGTATGCAGAAACTACTCAACGTTTACATGTACATCCATAATAAAATAGTACCTACTTCACAAGATCAGGGTAGAACTGTTTATCCCATGCACTGTAGATTGAAGTGGACACATAGAGTCGTTTGCCATCAAGACTGAGTTGGATCATCTGAGGTCCACCTTCTACACGCTTTCCATTGAAGAACAAAGGGTCTGGCTGTTCCTACAGAAAGACGAGATTAAATGTGTCATGTGTGAAACAATCTAGCTTATTTAAACTATGGCATCATTTAGTTTGCAATTTGTTATCGCTTCGTATGTCAAAAAATGAGAAAGATCTCATTCAATATGAAGGTCTGCTGTGTAGAATATTGGCTGACAAGACATTAATTTGCAAAGTTTCACCACCTGCCATTTGTTATGGATGCTGACCGCCACCTGTGGAGCACTGTCCACACAAAAAAATCATGTCACCACTTGTCTTGGTGGCATAACAAACTAGAACAGTCACTTTGATATAAGTTTGCACAAATATGAAGCTGGGGCCGAGACAGTGTGGAGGCAAGACTGGAAAACAGCTAGTCCATGAAGTAACAAATTCCATTGGGCAAATGGAGCATTTTGAACATTTCATTCCTAGTTTAATCCTTGAGAAGTTCACTCTCAATTTTTAATCGTTTTTATTTCAAGTTCATGTATCGTAACATATGGTATTTTACAGTGAAAATTCAACAAAGTTAATCAAGTTCCAAATGAATTGAGATAATCTCAATATGAACTGTTTGATCATAAATGAGGAGGAATCGGTGCAAGATGGCTGAAAACCACCCTTTTTTGTATGTACCTGTAGCTCCTCATCTTGTTGTACTCTTACAGTACTGTCCTTGCAACAGCTTCCTCCTAGCCATACCTATATAACAGTACAATGTATTATATTTATATTAGTAACAGAAATACAATAATTTACCTATCAAGAGGTTGAAAGTTTCAGTAGTTTGGTTTGGTCATCTGTGAATTGAGATTTCACTGTCAACCAAGGCTACATGTAGATGAGATTTAAGATTGAATAAGATTGATTGTTTATTCAAGTTGACATCATGTTGCTTACCTGTCCAACGAGCTTAGGATGTCTGCGGTCGGCGACGTCATATTGTCTAATATCTCCATGGAGCCAGTTACTGAAGTACAGGAATCTGTCATCCAGAGATATTAAAATATCTGTGATGAGACCTGAAAATAACATTAAAGGTTAACAATAAAATTGAAACCACATGAGGCCAATCCACCAGGACATCTTTCTTCTTATTTTGAAAAGTCTTCAAAACTGTCCCAAAATTATCACAATTAGTTCTGACAAATGCTCGCCATGGTTGGATGGATATTGTATAGAATGGGAAAGTAACGTGGTTTAGTTAACTATATGGCCATACCGTGAAACCTGTCAAATGAGTGTGGCTCATACATGTATTGCATGCCGACCTAATAGTAAGAGCAGAATTGTTTATCAGATAATACCCAAACCAATGCTTACCTGGCATGTCAGCAAGTGCCCATCCTTCTACCTTCTTTGGAGGTACAGCTATCACTTTCTCTGCATCCCACGTCCCTTCCTGCAAAATAATAAAACATCAATTAATGTAAAAATTGACACTCATGTAAAATACATGAAATAATAATAATTTTATTAGACTCCAGATTGAAAATCTGGAGTCTATTGCTTTTGCCAGTTTTATTATTAGACTCCAGATGAAATCTGGAGTCTATTGTTTTCGTCAGTTTTCTTATTCTTCTTCTTCTTCTTATTATTCTATCCCAGTTTTCTCAATAACCATAAAGTTTTCAGTAAAGTCAGTCATTTGGTCAATTTAGGTCCAGAATCTAGTTCCTCGGAAATTGGGTCAAATTTTTATCTAGGTCAAAGGTCAAGAACTAGGTCAAATCCAGTACTTTGCCACTTTTTTCGATTTTCTCGGTCATCCTTCAATATTTTCGATCCGTGTTTTTTTTATTGTGTTCCTTATAAAAAAGTAGAAAAGCTAGGGTCGATTTAGTTTTTTGATATCTCAAACCGATTTCGAGATATCAGTGTCCGAAAACGAGGTCCAAAAAAAAGTTCTCCGAATCAAATGTCCAGGATATTAGTCTTATAGGAAATTTTCTCAGGATTCCGAATCTGAAAACCAAATTCAAATCAGACTTCCGGTTCGGAAGTTATGGCGTTTTGAAAGCTCAAAAATCGCTAAATTTGGTGCCCATGTTAAGTCAATGGGAAAAAAGATTTTTTTTGAAGTGAAAAATACGAAATATAGACTGAGTTCAGCTAAATATAATGAAAGCTTTTAAAAGAATGGGACCTCAAAAGTCATCTAGCTTCAAAATTTGGACACCAAAATGCCTAGGTCAAAATCTAGGTCAAATTCAAAGTTTTTCCTTATTTTTGCTATTCTGACACTACAGATTAATTATATTCTTCGAAATTTTGTATGCATGTAGCCAAGAGTGTGCTAATAGTGTTAGCCTTTTGCCGTCAGCAAGTATTTTGCCCCACTTTTGAGATATGGTGTCCGAAAAGTAGGTCAAAAGAAAAATTCTCCAAATTTAAGGTGTGATTTATGAACTAAGTATAGAATTTTCTAAGGAATCCGAATCTGCAAACAAAATTTCGATCCGACTTCCAGTTCGGAAGTTATGACATTTTGAAAGTTTAAAAATCGCTAAATTTGGTGCCCCATGTTATGTCAATGGGAAAAAAAGATTTTTTTGAAGTGTAAAATACGAGATATAGACTAAGTACAGCTTAAAATAATGAAAGCCTATGAAAGAAGGGAACCTCGAAGGCTACTTAACTTCAAAATTTGGACACCAAAATACCTAGGTCAAAATCTAGGTCATATTCATAGTTTATCCTTATTTTTGCGATTCTGACACTACACTTTAATTATATTCCTCGAAATTGTGTATACATGTAGCCAAGAGTGTGCTTATAGCGTTAGCCTTTTGCCGTCAAAAAGTATTTTGACCCACTTTTGAGATACGGTGTCCGAAAAGTAGGTCAAAATATAAAATTCTCCAAATTTAATGTATGAGTTATGAATTAGGTGTAGAATTTTGTCAGGAACCCGATCTGCAATTCAAATTTCGATCCGACTTCCAGTTCAGAAGTTATGGCGTGTCCAAAGTCCAAAAAGTAGGTCAAAATAAAAAGTTTCCAAATTTAACGTATGAGTTATGAATTAGGGGTAGAATTTTGTCAGGAATCCGAATCTGCAAATCAAATTTCGATCCGACTTCCGGTTCGGAAGTTATGGCGTTTTGAAATTTCAAGAAAAATAGATCTGATGGTATCCTGATAGAAAGTCAAGAGTAGAGAAGAAAATATTGAAAAATGCATCCATCCTTCCTTTCTGATCCTATGCTATCCTTCCTATCTACCCTTGCTTCGTATCCTCTCCTTCCTATCCTTCCTATTCTATTCTATCCTTCTTTCCTATTCTATCCTATTGTTCCTTCCTATTCTATCGTATCCTTCCTTCCCTTTTCATCCATCCATCCATCCATCCATCCATCCATCCATCCATCTTTTTCTGGATGACTCAGCTTATTTTGGATGACTTGGCTTATTCTGAATGACTCGGCTAAAAAAAGTCTAGATCTGGAGTCTGAAATTGAACTCGTTCAATTTCCAAAATCTAGTTATTATTATTATTCTTTCCGAACCAGTTTTCTCAGCAACTAGAAGACCTTACTCAAATCTACTTACAGGGTCAGTAAGGAGATGAGATCTAGTTTCTGGGAAATTAGGTTAAATTTTTATCTAGGTCAAAGGTCAAAATCTAGGTCAAATTTATAGTTTTCCTTATTTTTACGATTCTGACACTACACTTTAATAATTTGCTTCAAAATTTTGTATACAGATAGCAAAGAGTGTGCTAATAGTGTTAGCCTTTTGCCGTCAGAAAGTATTTTGACCCACTTTTGAGATATGGTGTCCGAAAAGTAGGTCAAAATAAAAAGTTCTCCAAATTTAACGTATGAGTTATGAATTAAGAGTAGAATTTTCTCAGGAATCCGAATCTGCAAACAAAATTCCGATCCGACTTTCGGTTCGGAAGTTATGGCGTTTTGAAAGCTCAAAAATCGCTAAATTTGGTGCCTATGTTAAGTCAATGGGAAAAAAGACTTTTTCGAAGTGTAAAATACAAGATATAGACTGAGTACAGCTTAATATAATGAATGCTTATAAAAGAAGGGAACCTCAAAAGCTACATAGCTTCAAAATTTGGACACCAAAATGCCTAGGTCAAAATCTAGGTCAAATTCATAGTTTTTCCTTATTTTAACGATTCTGACACTACACTTTAATAATTTACTTCAAAATTTTGTATACAGGTAGCAAAGAGTGTGCTAATAGTGTTAGCCTTTTGCCGTCAGAAAGTATTCTGACCCACTTTTGAGATATGGTGTCCGAAAAGTAGGTCAAAATAAAAAGTTCTCCAAATTTAACGTATGAGCTATGAATTAAGGGTAGAATTTTCTTAGGAATCTGAATCTGCAAACCAAATTTCGATCCGACTGCCGGTTCGGATGTTATGGCGTTTTGAAATCTCAAAAATCGCTACATTGGGGGCCCCATGTTAAGTCAATGGGAAAAAAGACTTTTTCGAAGTGTAAAGTACAAGATATAGACTGGGTACAGCTCAACATAATGAACTTTTGTAAAAGAAGGGGACCTCAAAAGCTACATAGCTTCAAAATTTGGACACAAAAATGCCTAGGTCAAAATCTAGGTCAAATTCATAGTTTTTCCTTATTTTTATGATTCTGACACTACACTTTTATAATTTTCTTCAAAATTTTATATAAAGGTAGCAAAGAGTGTGCTAATAGTGTAAGCCTTTTGCCGTCAGAGAGTATTTTGACCCACTTTTGAGATATGGTGTCCGAAAAGTAGGTCAAAATAAAAAGTTCTCCAAATTTAACATATGAGTTATGAATTAAGAGTAGAATTTTTTCAGGAATCCTAATCTGCAAACCAAATTTCGATCTGACTTCCGATTCTAAAGTTATGGCGTGTCCGAAAAGTAGGTCAAAATAAAAATTCGCCAAATTTAACGTATGAGTTATGAATTAGGGGTAGAATTTTCTCAGGAATCCGAATCTGCAAACCAAATTTCAATCCGACTATCGGTTCCAAAGAAATGGCTCGAAAATCGCTAAATTTGGTGCCCCATGTTATGTCAATGAGAAAAAAGATTTTTTTGAAGTGTAAAATACAAGATATAGACTGAATACAGCTTAACATTCTGAAAGCCTATGAAAGAAGGGGACCCCGAAGCCTATCTAGCTTTAAAATTTGGACACCAAAATGCCTAGGTCAAAATCTAGGTCAAATTCATAGTTTTTCCTTATTTTTGCGATTCTGACATTACACTTTAATGATTTACTTCGAAATTTTGTATACACGTAGCAAAGAGTGTGCTTATAGTGTTAGCCTTTTGCCGTCACAAAGTATTTTGACCCACTTTTGAGATATGGTGTCCTAAAAATAGGTCAAAATAAAAAATTCTCAAAATATCCCTTATGAGTTATGAATTAAAGGTAAAATTTTCCCAGGAATCCGAATCTGCAAACCAAATTTCAATCCGACTTCCGGTCAAAAATTCCTACTTACCTACCTACCTACATACCTACTTGGCTACCTACTTAGCTACCTACTTCTCAGCTACTTGGCTACCTACTCAGCTACTTACTCAGCTACCTACTCAGCTGCTTACTCAGCTACCTACTCAGCTACTCTACTCAATTACTTAATCATCTACGTACTCAGCTTCCTACTCAGTTACTTACTCAGCTCTTTACTCAAGTAAATCAATCTGGAGTCTTAAATTGAACTTGTTCAATTTACATGTCTAGTTATTTATATAATCTATTCATAAAAATCGAAAGTCTGTTTGATCGAAGTTCAGCACGGTGAAATAGATGAAATAGGTTATCTGGTTATGAGATTTGGTTAGTAGCCACGATGTACGCCGGTGGTCATGCTAATATATCTCTTGAACATGGCCTATCACTATTTTCTAAACAACAGAAAAGGAATACAAAAAGACTAAACAATTTTTAAAAATTTAAAAGTACTGACTTTATTTCATCAATAACATGAAAAAGACATATATTCCATGGGTCATATATTCCATGGGTCATAATATTTAAAAGTAACGTTTTAATCATAGATCAAAAGCTAAATGATTCAAACTGAAAGAGAAAAATGGAAGCATAGATTGTCATTGGTATTTACTGATAAGATCATTCTTTATCCACGGTGTTATAGCATGACAGATACGCCACCTCTGAAAACGAGGTTAGTCGAATACGATCACTGATTTATCCAATAAAATGGCCACGATGAAACAGAAAGCTAAGGTAGGTGCATTATGTTCTACTACTGCGTATCAATAAAAGCATGAAAGATTTATGTAAGCGTCGCATTCGGTGATGCATTCAGTAATGTTTATTTTGAACGTAGTCTTTGCAAATCGACGCCCATGGATAACATGAAATAAGCGAAAAACTGTCGAGTTTGAAATTCAAAACTTCATAAAATTTAATAATT